GCGCCCTAGCATATACGGTACAAAACACCTACTTTATGCCCTCGCGTCCTTCCCCTTGCCTCCCCTGTCCCTCGCTCAGCCTCCTTCTTCTACCGCCCCCAGCTATCTTCCCTGCCGCCTTTCCTCAGTTTCCCGTCCCCTATCTCCCTCAGCAAGCTATATTATAAAGTTTGTCTCAGACGGCACTGCCCGCCTAACATGGTGCGCGCGCATGCGCAATATCTCCCGAGCGAAATCGTATTTTGCAAAGATTATACATTTAAAATAAAGAGTTATCCTAGCATAGATTTATGTTATAACATTCCATCTGTAGACATCATTTAAGAAATAGTAGGAAGATCTTGCATGTAAGGTCCCGCTGAGTATCCCAGCCAGTACACAATCTGGCTACGTTAGTGTGTTAGCGCATGCGCAATATATCACCAGAGGAGTTATATTTTGTATTGAATATGCATTTAATATGATTAAGGGGTATCTCAGTATAGATTTACGTAATAAATTTTTTCAGTGGAACTGTGTTTAAAATTGGGAGAGCGCCCTAGCCTGTAGGGTGCCAAACTACTATTTCATCCCCTTCTATTCTCCCCGTTGCCTCCATTGTCTCTCGCTCAGCATCCTTCTTTTTCTACCGCCCCTTAACTACATTTCCTTCAGTCTTTCCTTAGTCTCGCACCCCTCTCTCCCCCAGCAAGTTATATTATGCAATGCTTTTCAGTCGGTGATGCACGCCTTCTACGGTGCTCGCGCATGCGCAATATCTCCCGAGAAGAACAATATTTTGCAAAAATTATGCATTTAAAATGAAGAGGAGTTATCCTAGCATAGATTTATATGAGAAAATTCAATCAGTAGACATCAATTAAGAAATGGGAAAAACCTTGCATGTAAGGTACCCACTGCATATACCCGTCAGTACACAATCTGGCTACGTCAGTGTGTTAGCGCATGCGCAATATATCACCAGAGGAGTTCTATTTTGTAATGAATATGCATTTAATATGGTTAGGGGGTATCTCAGTATAGATTGACGGAATCATTTTTTTGCAGTGGACCTGTGTTTATAATTGGGAGAGCGCCCTAGCCTGATGGGTGCCAAACTACTATTTCATCACCTTCCATTCTCCCTCTTGCCTCCATTGTCTCTCGCTCAGCATCCTTCTTTTTCTACCGCCCCTCAATTATTTTTACTTCAGTCTTTCCTCAGTCTCCCACCCTCTCTCACCCAGCAACTTATATTATGCAATGCTTTTCAGTCGGTGATGCACGCCTTCTACGGTGCTCGCGCATGCGCAATATCACCCGAGAGAAATCGTATTTTGCAAAGATTATGCATTTAAAATGAAGAGGGGTTATCCTAGCATATGTTTATGTGATAAAATGCCATCAGTAGACATTACTTAAGAAATGGGAAAAACCTTGCATGTAAGGTACCCGCTACATGTACCAGTCAGTACACAACCTGGCTACGTTAGTGTGTTAGCGACTGCAGGGGCCAAAATGAACGCAACACTTCCTAAAAACAAATTCAAAACTGCAAATTACATCAAACTCTATATTGGGTGTACCAGCAAAATGGGCGGATGTTTGCCATCTCCGATTGCTCTTGTATTTTGTAATGAATATGCATTTAATATGGTTAGGGGGTATCTCAGTATAGATTTACGTAATAAACTTTTGACCCAAAGTTGGAATGATGATATACCAAATGAATGCAGTAACATAAGAAATATAAACAGGTACAGTTAAGTAAATCCAACAATTTTTTTCATTCTTTGTACAAACGATTAACGGTGTGTTATACAAACATACAAAACCGCACACCTATACCTATACTATAATATATAGTCATTACACATGATAGTATAAATGCTTTCATCATACATTATAGTACATTATATCATGAATAGGTTCATAAAAACTGTGCATTCCTTCCTTTTTTCTGTCCGAATTCTGATCGAGCTACGTAGAGCTACCGACGTATATATATATACATATATATACAGAGGTATATATCACGGAATCATAGACATAACAATCAATAGAAACATGTAGAAATTAAATTAAAGTAGGTACAGTATTAGATTATAAGTTAATTGCAGCACCGCAACCAAAACGGAGGCCCTTCCAAGCACCCAATTATCAACTCGTACAGATAAAATATCAAGTGTTTAGATATTTCGCGTGTGTACATTGTCTTAGATTCTCGTCGCAAATTGACCAACGTTCCCTTTATGATCAACAATCCTAAATTAAACACTCTTAACTGTTAAGACACCTTCTGCACTGGCCGTATATTCATATCATAATTTTCATGTCACAATCAATTAAAAGTATGAAATTATGAAATAAAATGGCAATGAAAACAACATGTCTTCTATATTGAGTACGTACTCCTTTGGCAAGAAACCTCATTTTTAAAACCAACAATTTTTAAATGTGGTTTTTTGTCAGTGATTAAAACACAATCATTCGCTAAAGTGGAGGACTTTTCTTCTCTATGTAATCGCCATATACATCTTAGTCCAAACCTTAAACATGAAACTTGAGCTCTGACCATATCTGTGACTTTATATAACAACAGAACCTTACTGTTCTGAGCAAACGTACCTCAGATTTTATCACAATAGTGCAAACTGCATTTCACAACAATGATATATGCTGTATTTACCAATTTGCTGTATTAACCATTGCATATTTATCATTCTGCCTTATGACTGCGGTTTTAATAAAACTCACAACTTGTCCGCCAAAGTAATTAACAAATCAATCAATGATTTCAATACGATCATCCGCACGAGCGAATTTCACCAACAAAATCTAAAAAAAAAATCCAACAACGCATCCCCCCTCCCCACCTTCCCTCAAGTTCAACAACTCACACAAAAAATATCTCCCATATTTCACGAGACGGCCACGCGATGGCGCCACCGTCTACGGTATCGGGAAGCTCTCGACTGCGACGCTCTCTATGGCGACCTCGTCGACGCCGCGGCGGATGCGGAAGTAGCCGCGCTCGCCCCACTCCTCGCCCCAGCTGTTCTTCACGGTCCAGTACTTCTCCAGCGTGCGGTGGTCGTAGCCGTAGCCGACCAGGAGTACGGCGTGGTTGGTGAGCTCTAGGGGGTTGTATCTGTCCGTGAGAGCCGTGTGGTGGTAGATGCCGCCTGGTGATGTGAGAGAGAGAGCGAGAGATCAGACGACAACGCAACAGAGAGAGGGAGAGAGAGAGAGAGAGAGAGAGAGAGAGATTATAGTAAAGTTAATCGCACATTTACAGCAAACTCACTCCCACATTATGCACACACACCGAGTGTTACGTTACATTCGCACCGGTGTACCTTAGCCTGCCATATTTCCCACTAGACCCTATTATAGTGGGGGCCAGTGTTGGGCACTATGGGGCCGCGCACCTATTCGCTGACTATATAAAATAATTGCCCTATAGAAAATGGGTTTCTGGCACGTTGATCTCACATGACTCTGATTTAATTTAAATAATGACTCTAATTTCATTTTTGTGAGTTTTATTGAGGGAACAATACAAGGCGGTCAAAGGAGGCATTCGTGGCGCCCTCTGGGTTCTCCCTCTACTATAGTATAGGTTGGCGTATGCGTGTGTTTGCGTGTGCGCTGTATCTGTATAGGAAAACAGGGTTGTTGATATTCTCCATTGAAAAGAGAGATGACGTAATCAGCAGTAGATCTTAATGAAAAAATCACTATCTAAATATCTCACTTTTGATATCAACGTTTCGGAACTGGAATCTCTCTGCGCTATAGTCAGAGCACGTATATTAATATTGATATACGTGCTCTGGTTATAGTATAAGCTCGGATGTACGTTTGTGCCTGCGCGGAATCTGCCAAAGGAAATTCTATACTATTGATATTATCAATATTATCAATATTATCGATATTATCAATTGATATTATATTATTACTATCAGGAGTGAATAATAATATCGATTATCGATAACTACAACTACTAAATAATGATAGAAATTCTATTATTATTCACTCCTGATATTATTCATTTAAACGGGATAGGACATAGTCGGCAAGAAATTTGCCTTGAAAAATTCATATCCCAATATCTCACTCTGGATAAAACGCCTCGAGTTATTTTTTCCGCTGCTGTGTTGTGACCAACAACGATCGACAACGCAGACGGTCAAGCGATCACACTAGAATAGTCTCTAGCGCCGCCTGGCGGGCACTACATGAATTTAGCGTGTTAGTATGATGCGAGTGAACTGCGTGCAATGTACAGGGAAATCCCAGCATTTTAAGTAAAATAATCAGTCTACGGATTTAAATAACATACACTAAATGAAATAGAATATTCGTTAGCGGTTACAGTTATTTTCACACATTATATGCTATTTACACCATCTGTAGAACACCACACATCAGTATGCAGGCGACAGATATCCACATCCAAGTGTGGCCTTGAGCCACCGGGGGCCTAGGGTCCCGCTGGCGCAATAATACACTGTGCAAGTGATGCAGCCTGCTTTTCTTTGCTGGAGACGGTATAGCTTACAACCAAGGCTTTCCACACACTACTATATGGGAGGCCTTAGGCCATCCTTCATACACAATACTATATATGTAGCCTTGGTGGGCCGCCAGCATACACTATACTACAATACTATATAGATGGCATTAGGCCCCCGCCATACACATACTGTATATATGGCTTTGGGCCCCCATCATACACTATTCTATTCTACGTATATTATTACGTATTACAATTCTATACTACGTAGTGTTAGTGTGTTAGCGCATGCGCCAATATCTCACCAGAGAGTTATTATTTTGTGATGAATATACATTTAAAATGGTTAGGCGGCATCTCAGTATATGCTACGTAATAATTTTTTGCAGTGGACCTGTGTTTATAATTGGGAGAGCGCCCTAGCCTGTAGGGTGCCAAACTACTATTTCATCCCCTTCCATCCTCCCCCTTGCCTCCATTGTCTCTCGCTCAGCATCCTTCTTTTTCTACCGCCCCCTCAACTATCTGCCCTTCAGTCCATTCCTCAGTCTCGCACCCTTCTCTCGCCTCAGCAGGTTATATATTGCTGTGCTACTTTCAGTCCGTGCTGCACGCGTTCAAACGGTGCCGCGATGCGCAATATCTCCGAGAGACAATCGTATTTGCAAAGTTTGCATTAAAATGAAGAGGAGTTATCCTAGCATAGATTCTATGATACAATACAATCAGTTGACATCACTTAAGAAATGGGGAAACCTTGCATGTAACGTACCCGCTGCATTATACCAGTCAGTACACAATCTGCTACGTTACTGTGTTAGCGCATGCGCTAATATATCACTAGAGGAGTTAATATTTTGTAATGAATATGCATTTAATATGATTAGGGGGTATCTCAGTATAGATTTACGGAATAATTTTTTTGCAGTGGACACTGTATATCTAATTGGGCAGAGCGCCCTAGCCTGTAGCGTGCCAAAACTACTATTTCATCCCCTTCAATTCTCCCCCTTGCCTCCATTGTCTCTCGGCCAGCATCCTGTTTTTCTACCGCCCCCAACTACCTTCCCTTCAGTCATTCCTCAGTCTCGCACCCTTCTCTCGCTCAGCAAGTTATGTTATGCTGTGCTTTTCAGTCCGTGCTGCACGCCTTCAACGTGGCTCGCGAATGCCACAATATCTCACGAGAAGAACAATATTTGTAAAAATAATGCATTTAAACTGACGAGGAGTTATCCTAGCATAGATTTATGTCTACAGTACACAGTCTGTACACAATCGGCATGGCTACGTTAGTTGTGTTAGCGCATGCGCAATATCTCACCAGAGGAGTTACTACCTCCGCCAGGAGCGTTATGTTTTGGCCCCTGTTAGTTTGTTTGTGGTTTGTCTGTCACCAGAAATCTTTCAAAAAGTTACGACAGATTTTGATGAAATTTTCGGGACGGTTTGGTCTGCGGGCCAAGAAACCAATCGATTAGATTTTAGGTACGTCATCCGATAACAGATCCGCGATCTACTCTATCTAACTAACATAATGTAAACCAAAAGCATGTGTATAACGCATGCCACGCGCATTGTACCATTAATTCAAGTCCACTGCGAAGTGAAGGTCGCGTTTTATTAATGCTTGCTGCATTAGGTATTTTAACTATACTACATTTAACGCGTTTATTTAATGTTACTGCATTAACGCGTTTATTAATGTTAGCTGCATAACGCGTGTATTTAATGTGCCTGCATTAACGCGTTTATTTAATGTTGCCATGCATTAATTTGCGCGAACTCGTTCTATTTAATGTTATGCATTAGACGCGTTTATTATAATGTTGCTGCATTTAACGCGTTTATTTAATGATGCTTGCATTAACGCCGTTATTAATGCTGGCTGCTTTAACGCGTTTATTTAAATGCTCCCGTCGCTATTGTCCTGCATTAACGCTGGTTTATATCCTCTTGT